GTCTAAATATGCCTGTGGAATGTTATTGTGCACCAATGCTGCGGAAACAACTGGGTTTATTTGAAGATTTTTTTTTTTTATTCAGTAAACTTTATTTATATATAACAACAGTACAAATTGTGTCCTTGGCTTGCAAAATAGGAGTGTTTCGTATTTACAATAGGTACACGATAATATATTAGAATAACAAAAAACCCCCATTTTATTGGAACATTTTAAATACTTAATTTTCTTACAGTTTTTATTCCACAACACCTGTAAAAACAAGAAAACCAGACAACTATCATTGTATTTTCTTAAAAATATATATACTACAGATTCCAGTGTGTCAAGGAGAGTGGGCTTGAGGCGGAGGAGTTGTGGGGCGAGGCAGTGGGCTCAGTTCCTCATCTCAGGGGTCTGAGGAGCTTGTCCCTTCCTCCCGCCACACACAGGAACAGCTCCTCTGTGTGGTAGGTGCAGTATTCCTGGATGCGCTCCATCCTTAATGCCCACGTGGAGGGCAGGTAAAGCACACTGTCAGGACCTTGACTGACACCCAGAAGACGCTTCCTGTCTTCTTCGAGGCAAGAACAGGCAGGAAGCGACTGCAATGTGGCAGAAGGGGAGAGTGTGGTCTTAAGGTAGAACTCCTCTATGGTGAAGAGCATGGGACGAGGTGGCATGGAAGGCTGGCTCTCCAGTTTACTTATTCTCTAACAAGCAGTGGTCTTAGTTGTCTCTCAGGACCTTCCCTAGTACTGGTTTGAAAACACCAAGAATGAACGTGAACCTTCCTTTGTGGGAGCACGGAGCCCCAGATATGAAGATGGCACCCTTTGGAGAAGCTAGGAGAAAGGAGGAGGAGGCAGGGTGGAGAGACTGGAGGTATGATGCTACCCTTTCCTCAAAGCCTGTTCCTCTGGCATCAGAAGGTCCCGAACCTCACCTCCCAGGTCCCCTGATGGGACTCGCTTCCACAGCTCTGTGTCTATTAGGCCATTGTGCATTTTTTCACCCACAGATGCCCCTCAGTCTCTGTTCTGTCCTCTCCATGGCCAGGCCCCAGTAGCCTCAGGCACAACACAGTGTGGCTGGAATAAAAAAAGCAAAAAAAAAAGACCTCCCCCGGAGCAAATGCCAGCTCAGTATTTACCTGCAGCGGGAGAATGGGGACAGGTGTGGCACTGGAATGCACCTGGACATTTATCCACCAGAGGTTTTCAATCATCCCCCGTGTGTTCCATCCAGACTGTTTTCAGCCTCGCACATAGCCATCCATTGCATCTGTTTTGTGCTCAGCAGGGCCAGGGGCCTCGACTGCTATTTCTCCTTCTCGTTTGGTGGAACCGCAAAAAGGCCAGGAGCTGGAGCAGCAGGAGAAGAGCTGCCGGAACAGACGGCGGCAGTGGAGGGGAGAGTGGCTCTCATTCCTGGAGGAGCATCCCAAGTCAGGTAAGGCAGCTGGGTTGGGTGGCTTCTTTCCTCTCCGACTCCCTTTCCTACAAACTCATGCCCTCTGCTGGTGGGGGAGAAAACTGCACCTGGATGTCAGTAGCAGGAACCAGCAGCCTGAAGAAAGCGAATTTGCTGGAGGAAGGACCTGTCTGTCTTGCTCATGGCGGTTTCCCAGCACCTAGAACAGTGCCTGGAAGTAGCTGCTGCTTGCGGTTTCCTGAGAGAATGAATGCAGGAAAGTTTCCTCTCTCCAGGGAGTTTACCAGCTGGTCCATGCTTTTAATGACAGAACACTGTAAGGAGGCAGGATCTCTGCCAGAGGTGGGTCAGAATGGTGCTGAGCAGTGTGCTGCAGGGAGGTGGGATGGCCAACAGAGGCACCTGAGCCCAGGCGGAGGGCAGGAGGCAGCAGAGGGAGGGACTTGCTCTCCATCTTGTCCCTTGGCCAGGTTAGTCATCTTAGTATCTCTGTCTTGCCAGGCAAGGATCTCTGGAATCCTTTTCCAGAGAACTGTCTCATGCCAATCAATGAAACAAAGCAATGCTGGACTTTGAAGAGGGACTTCCCTCCCTGCCGTCTCCTAAGATAGACGAAGGTGGATGTCTTCATGTGGGGAGGGACTGTGGTTTTAATATGTCTTCCTGACACAAGGTCAACACATCCTCACAGTGGATAATAATGAGGAGAGGGGCCAACCAACTCCACTCCGTCTCCTTCCTAGTTCTTGGGGTCTGGGTTCTTGGTGACCCAAAGTCAAGAGTTGGTGGAGGATTGATAGATGGGAAATTAGAGAGGGGCAAGGCTCTACAACCTTCCACCCTCATGGCCTGGACTGAATCCAGCTGAGTTTTCCTTTTTCTTGACTCCCTTTTCAGGTACGCCCCTGTGCCGTGCCCTTTGTGAGCCCAAGTTCTCTCAAGGAGTTTGGAGAAAGGTGGTCAAGCCACTCACCACTCTCCAATTGGCCAGCCCTCCATCATTCTCCACACTCTCCAAAAACCTTCCAGGAAGCGTTCCTAGGGGCAGTGAATGGGCACCAAAAGTAGCTGCTGGGAGGTGAGGGTCAGTTATGATGCTGTTGAGATGTTTGACTTCCTTTTATTTCTTGGTGGTGTAAAATCCAAAACCTTAGGTGCCAGTCTTAGCAGGGGTGTGATCAGCAAACCTTCCTTAAAACAGATCTCAGAAGTAAAACGAGGGTGCACTGGGGTTTTTGTGGGTAGCACAAAGTCTCCTTCTCAAATTCCTTTCAGTATTTCTCCTCTCCTTTCAACTCCATCAGTCATAGGCTCTGAGCTGATAAGCTTTGGGTGCTATGAAGAGTGAACACTTTGGCTTGGTGAGGAAGGCCAGTCCTTAGTATTTCTTTCAGGCTATTAGTAGGGCCCCAAGAAACTCTGACAGAAGTGCATTATCAGAAGAAAGTGGCCTTGGCATGGCTGGTTGTGAAGTATAATGAAAACAGCAAGTTTCCTGAGTATTTTGCTGAATGCTTTTCTCTTTCCATTTGTCAGCTGCATTCCGGCAAGAAACTGGACCTGAGGAGACCAGGAGACATCTGCTGTGTGGTTAGTACAGCGGTCCAAAGCCACACGCCAGGGATGGAAGCCAGCCTGCAAAGTTCCCCCTCCCCCAGCCCTGGCCTGGGAATCAGATGTGGTCAGCAGAGCCTTTGGAAATTGGAATTGCTTGGCGGTAAGGCTGAGACCCAGAGTTAATTACAGAGGAAGTGAGCCTGGTCTGGTCTCTGTTGGGTAGCTGGTGCCATTTCCCAGCATTGCAGCCTGGATTCCTGGCCTCTTAAAAGGTAGAAAGGGGGAAGGGGAGGTTGTTCCTCTCTGCCTCCCTGTCACCCTGCCGTTCCCCCTTGCCTTGTTCCTGTCCTTACCCCCTTGCTCCGATGCTGCTAGCAGAGAAGCTGGAGCTGGCTGCTTGGATCCATGCCCATGGGGAAGCCTGGATGCTCTGGTGACTGCCCCGGTTGCCAAGGTCCTGCTGCCAACAGAGCTGCCTTTCGTCTGGGTGACCCTCATTAACTTCTATGGGGCCTCTGGACAGAGCCATGGAGCTTTGGTTTCTGTATGGGAACTACACTCAGTCGTCCATGGTTTTAGGTGGCAACAGGTGAGAGAGACAAGCAGAGGAGCCCAGAGATAAGCCACCCACTTGTCCTTGTCCTTCAGACCCACAAGTCCACGAGAGGCAGAAGGAGACAGTAACTTGAGGATGCTAAGTCATTTCTACTGGTCTCCCTCGAGACAAGGGCTGTATGCCCAGACAATCAGGAGCGTCCACGTATAAGCAAAGGGTGGTCTCCCCTCTCCAGGCATGAGAGAATGAAAGAAAGTGTAATAAATACTGTAGCTTCTTTCACCTACTCTCTTCAAGTATTGCTTGCTGTAAACAGTGTTCGATTTTTGTTTTCTTTTTAACTGCAAGAAACCACTGGATGATTACAGAGGAATCCAATGCCAAACACCCATGTCCCCAAATCAGCTCCCAGATGGAACCTTCCAGAGACCTGGTCCGCACACCTCCAGGCCCTCTCCTCACGGTGGCCGGTCACGGCCGGGCCTGGTGTGAGCAGAGCCGCTCCATGTCCTCAGGGAGGCCTGGTGTCCGGTCTGGGAGAGGCCCACCTCTCCACCACTTCTGATAGTAATTTCAGGGAAACCAAAAGGAAAAGTACCAAAGATAAGGTCCTCCTTTGTTGAGGCTTGGGATTAAATAAAACAAAACAAACACAAAATGGTAGCGAAAAGCATTGGTACTCTACAGATACACATCTCCTGAAGAGATGAGGACGTACAGCGGTGTGGTGTGTAAAGCTCAAGCTCCAGTCGGCCAGCTGGCCTTGCAGTTGGCACGAAGGTCTGTGGTGCCCATGCTTTCTGGCCGCTGGGATGATTCCAGGGTTTACTGGCCTCTCTTTTTACGGAGTGTTTGGTGTGAACTTGTGCTCGTTCTTCTTCTCTTCCTCCTCATTGTTTTTTTAGTTTCAAGAGAAAGAAAGCCATCATTTCCCCTCACATTTCTCTCGGCGTCTCTTTGTAGACTGTTTCTGGTGTTTGGAAACAGGAGTTGTATGAGGAAGGAGGGATGGGGGAAAAGAAGGAAGGGAGCAGAAATCAGAATTAAACAAAAATTGGACGGGATCAACATGGCGGCTTTCTGTTTTATTTCTGTTTTTTTTTCCTTTTTCTTAAAAAAAATTAAATAAAGTTTTCATTATTTCCCCAATATACATCAAACGAGTTTTCATGCAAAGCAGCAGTCACAGAGGCACAGCATCCCCGCTGGCACCTCTCGGCTTGAAGGACGGCCTTCTCTGCGCGCCGTCTCTCATCCTCACTGTGGATGCGTGATGCCGGCTCTCTCTCTTTGCAGGAACTGGCTATGATGAAACTTGGCTGGCGTGGGGAGGGCCATCCCCTCTCCCCAGGATGGTCTCAGGGGACGGCAAGCTCTGGAGCCTGAGCCCCTTCACTTGTCCTTCCTTCTGAGATTCCTGGTGTGACAGCTGTGACGGGTCCCTCTTCCCAGGAACATGAGGCTCCTCCTCTCAGCTCTCAATGGACATGGCGCCGATAAGCTGCTCCACCTTGTAGGCCAGCCGCTGCCGCCGGGCCTGCTCGTCCTGCTCCAGGGCCCCAATGAGCTGGGAACAAGAACACAGGCAGGGGGACTTCAGTATCACAGCTGCCACTTGGGGGAATTCCTCTATCAACCTCTCTGTTCTGCCCTAATGAACATAATTTAAATAACTACAGATCATTTAAATGCCTAAAGGAATATATACTTGTGTGTTGCTAATTGCTGTCAAGTCAGTTCTGACTCATGGTGACCCCATGTGTGCAGAGTAGAACTGCTTCATAGGATTTTCAAGGCTGTGACTTGACCTTTTGGAAACAAATTGCCAGGCCTATCTTCCGAGATGCCTCTAGGTGGGTTTGAACCACCAACGTTTTGGTTAGTCAAAACCCACTGCCGTTGAGTCCATTGTGACTCATAGAGACCTCATAGGGTTTCCAAGGCTGTAAATCTCTACAGAAACAGACTGCCACATCTTTCTCCTGTGTAGCTGCTGGTGGTTTCAAACCACTGACCTTTCGGTTAGCAGTCAATTGTTTTAACCACTGCATCACCCAGGGACTCCGTGTGTGTGTATTAAAAAAAAAAGAGACCAAACCAGTTGTCGAGTTGATTCCAACTCATATTGACCCCATGTGTGCAAAGTAAAACTGCTGCTTAGGGTCTTCACACCTGTGACCTTTCAGAAGCAGATTCCTAGACCTTTCTTCCGAGGCGCCTCTGGGTGGGTTTGAACTGCCAACCTTTTGGTTAGTAGTCATATGTATATGTATATATGTGTGTGTGTGTTTATAAATATACATATATAATGTGTTTAGAACAACAACATCTGCCATAGCACCTAGGAAGCGCCATGTAAGCGCTAGCTATTCCTACCACCCTAGTTTCAGAAGTAGTAGTACGGACTTTGGGAGGCTGTCCTATTCAACCTCTATTCATGGTAAGGTCCACCTCTCCATCTGCAATGTAATTGACAGGATCTGCCCGGGTGCAAAGAATAGTTTGATTCATTGTTTAAGAAATAATGAACTGGAAAACAATGAAATTATTAAACGTGTTATTTATTATGATAACAGACAATGAGGGAAAGACAATGAAATGCATCAGAAAGCGTTCAATGAACCAGGCAGGATAGGCTGTCTTATAAAGGGATGATAATGCTTTCGGAGTTCACTGGTTGTTGACTCCATGAATGTGTTTTCTAAATGACCCTCCATTGTTGTTGCTGAAGGGCTGAGTCAGTGTTCCTGTTTAATTGCCTCACTTTCCATGTGCTGGTCCCTGTCCCTCCCAGGGCTCCGCCTTACCTCTTCACTATACTTGCTGACATAGGAATAGATCTCATTGAGGGCACTCAGCATGTTGAACTCCACGGCGTGCAGGCGGGACTGCTCAGCGAGGTAGGCGTTCATGTCCTGGTCACTGATGGCGGGGAGCTTGGCGATGTCTGCGTAGTATCTGCCGTAGATAGGACAGACTCTTGATTGGGGACTCAGCAAACATTTGCCTGCCTACACCTACACTGGCTCCAGGCCCCCTGAGAACATCAGATGTCCCCAGTTGCTCCTGCCTCCCTGTTTCTCTTCTGATGCTGGACATGTTAATGGAATGATACACACGAAATTCTTGTCATAGTACTGGGAGCTTAGCATATGCTCAATAAATGATACTTAATCATCTGCATTCCAAGGGCAGAAGCCCACCCCTCCTCCTGCAGCAGGCAGTTTGGAGATGAGAGAAGGAAGGAGAAGGGGTCCTGAGGGTACTGCAGACACTGTTGGGAGCCCTGGGTCAGCAAAGCCCACGGGCTGGGGATGGAGCAGGGAGACAGGGACACTGGCCTGTTCTGAGGGACTACTGACCTCTCCACCCAGCTCTTGTAGCTGGGGATGTCCTTGGCATAAAGCAGCTTGTTGGAGGGCGAGTCCTTGCCCAGCCGGTGCTCTGACGTGGAACAGGAGTCCATGAAGGTCTGGGCCACCACCGAGAGGCAGGCGTCCGTGATGCTGCCCTTGTGGATGTCAAACACAAACTGGGGGTTCTTGATCACGTTCACCCAGAACCGCAAAGGGAGGCTGTGGGAAAGCAGAGCAGACCCTGAGGGCGTGTCCCACCAGTACTCCCCTTCTCACTCTGAATGCAAAACCCCTCCCCTGTCAGAAGGGTGAGGAATAGAATCTTGGGAAATTGGTCCAGCCGGGGGCCGCTAATTAGCCTACCCTGTCACCGACCCTGGGGGAGAAGGAGGGCCCCACTGTATCCTAACGGGGCACTGGCCTTGCTCTCCAACCATGGAGGGGTAGGTGGGTAGATTCTGTTCCCTCCTGGTGGTCTTTTCTTCAGAGCTCCATGCCCCAGGGAAGCCCAAGTACAGAGGACGGCATGATTTTCTCAGAGGCACAGACAAAGCCACCAGCTCCCAGAGCCTCCCCACAGTGCCTGCGGGCAGCTGTTATCCGGAAGGCCACTGCTGGTAGCCCTGCACCCCTCGGAGCGGGCACAAAGTGCCCCACCTGTGCTCCAGCCTGGCGTGGCTGCGGGTCCCTTCCCAGGGCCAGCCTGCCTTGCTCCCCTGGGGGAAGGCTTTTCACGACTCGCCCCAGGGCAGGCCTGTATCTGGGCAGGGGCAGAGGGAGAAGAGGAGGCCATTGTTGGTGTCCTGGGAATGACTCACTGTAGCTCAGAGTTTTTCCCACCCCAAGAGGAACTGATCGGTAGTTAGGAGACTTCCTTCCGTAGCTCGGAAATTTCTAATCAGAGGAGAATGAATTTTCCCTGCTCCTTGGGCCAGAAGGAGGATAAGCCTATTTACTCGCCTTCAAAACCAGAACAGCTGCTGTTTTCACTTCCTTTTCCAACCTTGCTTCTCCTCCAGCTGCCTTTGTGGCCTTAACTCTTTCGGCTCCTCTGTGGACTGAGGCCTGGCCCCTGGCTTGTCCTCTTTAGAGGGCCTCTCTCCTACTTCGTTACCTGCTCAGGATTCTCATGGAATCCAAACCTCCCCAAGTGTCTCTGCAGCCCCACATCTTGGAGAAGATCCACTGTGATTTCTGCTATCTTCTGCCCCCACTGCAAGGGGATCACTTATTTCTGGTAACCTGGTGGAGAGGCTGACCCAACTCATCAGCTCGTCTCGCCTGCCCTCCCTTCCGCTGGCAGCTTTGGGGAACATCATAACCTTTCCTTGGAATTTGCTATTTGAGGTCTGGTTAAGGGGACCCCACCAGACCACAGCTCCAGGACAGTGCTTTTCTATGACTTGGGTCTGGCCAGCACAGAGATGGGGAGAACCCAGAACTTCCTCTTGCCTTCCCTGAAATTACCCACTCCCAGTGCTGGGCTGGGGATCTCCAAAAGCAAGGAAACAGCCATGACTCCTGCCTCTGGGAACAGCAGATGAAAGGCCTGCTGGGCCCACCCTGGGGGTCCTCAGCGCATGACCACACATTCGCCTCCACTGTGATCAAAGCTGCAGAGTTAGGAGGTTCAGCAACCGCAATACCTCAGAGAAGGAAAGGACCTACGGGGCTGGGGTTTGGTTTTCCCACTGTGTTTTGCTGGTTGCTAGGACTCTGAATTCCCAAATAACAGCCTGGGCCCATCTGGTCGGCTCTGTTTTCTGAGGAGACGGCTGACTCCAGACAGCTGTGTGGGCTGCCTGCCCAGCCCCAAAGCCTCCCCTCTCAGTGCTCTCTCCCGCAGGAAGGTCTAGCTCTGGCTGGCCGGGGCCGGGCCCTGTCAGGCCTGAAAGCTGGCCCTGAGCTTGGTCTGCAGTCCAGGCTCAAAGCTCCGGAGGGAGGGAAAGTCTCCGGCCAGGGCCCTGAGGGAGGTCCTTCTCCCCTGCCGGGCCTGGCTGTGGAGGGACTTCAGGGAAGTGGTGTCTGCAAGGGCCACCCACCTGCTGCTTTCTGAATGGCACCAGGGTGCTAACTGGGCTGGAAGGGATCAACTTTGCAATGAAATACCCACAGTCATGGGCCCAAGTCTGCAGTAGGTGCGAGTTCTGTAACCAGCCCTTCCCCAGAGCTGGGCAGCTTCACCAGGGGTCTAACTTGGGGCTTCAGGGCTCAGGAAGTGCCTTAGATTCTTAGGCTCTGCCCCACTCCATATGCCCGACAATGCCTGGCTTTGAAGCGCTTCTGCTAGGTCTCCAGTGTGGCTTTGTGTGCGTTTCCAGACTCCCTTTTCCTGAGAACCAGAGGTCTCAGAGTCAGGGGAGGAGGTGCCTGCTGGTAAAGGGTCCCAGCCTGAAAGGGCAGAGCTCAGACATGAATCCTGGTGCCTGGCCTCGGGCCAGGCAGACCCCGTGGCGGAGGACACGCCAGCTCTGCACAGAATACGTGTGCTATTTGTTCTTGGAGCTTCGGATTCCCCAGACACAACCGAGGGCTGGCTGCCCTCCTCCCTCCTCCCTCCGGGTCCCCGCGGGTCCCCACCTCCCACAGCTGGGGCCTTTCCAGCCAGCACCTCCTGATGGGCTCCCTCAGAGGTTACCAGTTGCTTTTCCAGGTATGCCGCACATCTGTGTCGTGGATGCTGTGTCGGTCTGCCTGCTCATCCAGGAAGTCAAACATGTACTTGATGGCCAGGGGGAGGGCACTGCCCCTGTGCACCGTGCTGAACAAGGTCTCGAACAAGTCATCCACGAACTTCTGCAGGGTGCCCTGCGGGAGGGGTGGGGAGAGCGTGAGAAGAGGGTGAGGGAGGGTGCAGACAGGCATGCCAGATGGTGCCTTGGGCCCATATTGCCTCAGAAATGTGTCTGCAACATGAGACTGCGCAGACTGGCG